AAAGATGTGTCCCCTCTGCTGCAAAAGGACAACCAATTGATCTAGCAAGACATTTGCTTCTCAGGTACCAGAACCCATCACAGCAACTCACACCTCGGGGAGAGGAGTTGTTTTTACCCAATAACAAGTCTCAGCACGTCACTTCGAATCGACATCAATAGGGAGGGGCAGGAGAGGTCGTAATGTTGGTACAGCTCAGAAACATCGGGCGATGGTTTCTGATGTCGCTGTTGTTAAAGTGACAGCAATAGGCATAACTGCAGGGACATGGATGGTATCGAGAAAATGCTAACGAATGCCTTCGCCTCAAGTAGCGACTTGAAAAGCTGGATAACAAGTCTTGTTGTTATTTGCCAGCCGTCACGAGATTCGCGGCAGTCTGAGATTGAGAGACGCCTAGCATTATGGCTCGTAGTCTCCACCGTGTCGCTACTCCTTGCCATTCTCTCGTAAAATATCCTTACCCAAACCCTGGTATTTCGCGGGCTCTCCCTCGCCCTCTCAAGCTTCCCCGGATATGGCAAAGGTAGTGGTAAGACTTATTGCATCTTCTTTGATGATCCGAAGCATTCGTGAGGTATTGATCATTATGATTGCCGCACTCGCGCACTGCCTTTTACAAATCGGCACTTCAATAGAGCCCCGGTCCTTACCTAGAGCGAAGTCCAAGAGTCAAAGCGTTGACGATAGCGAAGCCAGGCACCCAACAGTCGTGGTGTAAAAAGGGAATTGTACAGTAGATCAACAAACAATGTGATCTTTTCGATTGCTCATCTCAAAAGTCGAGTTTCAGATCGGGGCACCAAGGCTGCAAAGCCGCTGAAGAATCACCTCAGATGACCTGTTGCTCTGACCCACCCTTCCAGACAGACAAAGCTTGGTGGTTTGGACTTGCCAACTTGGCTAAGTTTTTGATAACGATCGCTCGTCTGCGTAGTTGTGTCAAGACGTAATAACCCCCACAGAGAGCCGGAGGTGCTATTGCCTCAATAAGCGCATCGCACTAAGAATCAAGCGCCCACCTATGTCGGACATATGGTTCTCAGCCAAGTGCTCTTGTTTCCTCTTTGGCTGTTGCTTGTGAGATTCCAAGGCCCTTCCAGAGGTTGGAAAATCGAGATCCTGATGCAGCGAGATCTGGGAGCGTAAAGTGCCCATTGGGAAGTGCGCGCGAAGTGATATATCATTTCTTGATGATAAATGAGGTGCGCAGAGGGTGGTTCTATCCCAAAATAGATGCCTTTCACCCACACCCACAGTCATTTTTGAGCAGCCAGGGTGTGTTAATAACGACCGTCAATGTTTTCTCACGCCGTCGGCGGAGAGAACAACGCCGTTCCGTTCAGGGACGGCATTACGAAATCGCGGCCACTAATCTCACCTACCAAACTGACAAGCCTTGTCCCGTGATTTCTTGATAATGCTGGAAGGCAGACATTGTATAACTGAGATGTGCAGAATTAAGGATGTGTCGTTTTGGCATCGTTACCGCTGTATTGACGCAACTGGGCTGCAGGGACAGTGATCTGGTGGAAGGCTAGAAAGTTGCATCCTGTGCACGATTCGAGCTAAGACGATGCACTGCGCTTGCGAGTGGAAGTAGCTTTTTAGACTTTGGCTCTTTCTGCTTGTCTTCTGTCAAACTGTAGATGTTTGCTCTTCAGCCATTGATGCTCTCTCAGTGGAACCTGCCAGCATGATCTTGACCTTGCGTTCCTACTCGCTCCTGTTGGGAAGTCCTGCATAGCGCCGATTTTACAGAGGTAGACGAAGAACCAGTGGGCAGATCGGGCAGAATCGTTTGCATATCAGAGTGGCTTCTCGATTGGTTCGCGTTCGAGTGAGTGTTTGAAGATGTGATTGAGCAGGAAGAAGACGCATGATCCTGGCTCATGGGCCTTAAACGCGATCGAAAAATAAATAAATGATCCCTGGTCGTGTGGCCTCTCAGCTGCAAGTGAGCAGTGTGTCGCATCTCAAACCACAAAAGGGTGCAATAGGCATGAACTTAACACATTTGGACCCTAGTCAAGCTGAGGGAGGCATTAGCACAACAGCTTGTAAAAGATGTGAAGCTATAGAGGTCGGTTGTTATACGTTGAAAACCTACCTGGGTAACTATATGCATCGACCAACTGCTATATTGATGGATATTAATCGGAAATAACTGCAGATTCAATCACATAACTGGACAGTTTGGTGATACTTTGTGTACCATGCCAATTGATAGCAGACATGATGGTCGTTATGGTTAAAGATAAGTATCAAGATGAGAGACTCTTTGGATTCGTCACCAATGGCCGTACATATCGTAAATTCCTGGTTGTGCAGACGGATACTTTGGTGTTGATGGGGAACAATACTGGCTTTGGAGGCTCCCGCTCTGTTGGATCCGACTGTTTGCACCTGACCTGATTGGATACATGACCAGAGAAGGAGCAATGCACACTAGGCTAGTCTAAATGTTCCATCGCAACTTCCATTCAACACCCATAAGGCAGGTACGACTTCAAACAGAAAAAAATAAAAGGAAGCAGCGATCGTCGACACATTACCTTAGGGTAAGGCAAGTGTGCCCAAGACGCCCCAAGGCAGGAAAGAAAATCATTTCCTCGCCAGGACCCGTAATTCAGGGACTCAAATCTCAACCACCAGCTGGTTAACGTCCACTTGTCTCGACCCAATTGTCTTACAACGCTTATTAGACCATTAGCCTTCAGCCGTTGAGGTGGCTAAGATAGTGCTGCGGAGCAAATGCTTGCTCTCGACGTTTGGCCGTTGTGTTTGCAGGAACCAATTTGGCGCCAACTGATCCAGCGCCACGACATGATATGCTGAACATCACATTGCATTTCCAAGAGGGGAAACATCCAGCAGTCGCTTCAGCTTCACTTTCTTCTCAAGGCATGATATACGACGCTTCAGACCAAGACGAAGTCAACTCCACGACGATCCACACGTATAGAGAGGCGGCCCTGCGGCGTAAGAGCTGGTATACAAAACCTGCGCAAGGGATCCCATGTTTGTTAGTCTCGCCAATGGTCAGCCGCAGCCAGACGTGGTGATATCTTCTCCTTGCCCGGAACAACTCCGCAAAGCATAATATTGTACAGATACGCCCAACTCATCTGGGATGCCATACAGAGATAGCAGCTGAGGGAAGAGAAACGGCCCCGAACGAAACCCGCTATTTGCCAGCCCGTAGGATCTTTAGGCATTCACGCCAAAATAGCAGACCCTCTTGCTAGTGGAAGCCATCATAAAGTTGCCCGCCTAGCAAAGAGCTTTAACCACGGAGCCGCGAAGCGGACCCTGTGTTAACTCGTAACGCAGGAGATTCTGGTTGATTACTGCAATCAGTAGCTATCAATAGCCCTTCTTGGTGTCGAAAGTGAAACTGGGAAGCGGGCTTGTACAATCGAGGCACAGCTAGCAATCACAAGAATAGCATCACCAAAGCAGGCATAACGACAGCATACGACTCCAGTTCGCAACTTTTGTCAGTACCAGTAAGAACAACTTCTAGCCACAGCCTGTCAACACCAGCAGCCGGGTCATAAGCCGGGTACTTCCTGCCCTGAAGCTCAAGCCCAACCGGCGCCGTCCGGACAAGGTGAGGCCTTGATGAGAGGATGAAAAATTCGAGATTAGGGTCTGAGTTCAGGGATGTCCCTGGAAGGTTTTTTCTCATGGCTGTACCTGAGCGCACACCTTGGACGCCCCCTCAACCCCTGTTCAAGTCTTGGCAAGCCCCAAGCTCTCCCCAGCAGAGGCGTCCTTATTAGCGTCTCGAGACCCTTGTCACGATCCCGTGTCCCAATGCCACACCCACGTTTTTAAACTCAACTTCACATCTTTGATATTGAGAATGTCGAAACATATACTGAGCTCCAAGCTATACTTTGCTTCTAATATGGTAGCAGTTAGACAAGGTACTCACAGAGTGTGTCAGAGTTCCCATGGCAGGGAGCCCAAAATACGGGCAGTAAACAGTATCCCACTGCTGTTGTCTACCTGATGGCTCTGCAGCTGTCCAAATCGATATGATCAAGTGGAATCGATCAAGCATTGAAGAAAGAGAGACATCGATTCAGCTCTTTCTCGATGAAATTTCCGCTTTAGGGTTTCCCCTTGCTGATTCTCGCTACAATGTCTCAACTTTGACTATCTCATCAGTATCAGAAAGAAAGAAAAAGAAAGAGACAACTTCTCACGGCCCAGTCGAGACAGAGAAGCTAGACATGGGGCAGCCTTCGTCCCTATGTGACATCCCCCACCCCCCTCTTTGATCACTTCCAACGACCCAGAAATCCCATCTATACCCTGGTCTCGTTACGTTCTGACTAGATCTACCTCTAGTCTCACCCCTCTCCCGGGTCCATGCCTAGTGCCCGCCGGTGGGGAGGAGGGTATCGCATCTCAAGTCCACGACCCAGGGAAGTATTATGACGAGACCTGGATTAACATTCTGTTACAATTCCAGGGCCTAGTCGCAGAGGTACTAGACTTCCTAGACCCGCCTTACAGAGGATCTCTGAGCTTTACCGCACGATTGGCTACAACAGATTTCGACCCTTGTCGCACATCAACTTATCTACACAAGCAAAGGAATATATGTAGTTGGGGCTTTCCTCCATGATCTCAACTATCCATTCAACTCTGTCTCACCAACAACTCTTACTCTCAACTTCAAAGAGCCTTTCTATTACAATCACTCTCACTCTCACTCTTACACACATACTTTCTGTTTTACTCAAGTTCAACTTGTTCTCTTCACTGCCCTCGGACATCTTGTTCTGGTCGTCGATCAACAACTTGTCTCTACCATACCACAAAGTGTTTTCCACTTTCCTCCGGGACCAATTCACCCTAACGAAGCTGTCGGTCTTGCTTTGAGAGCGAGACTGACTTCTACCGGCAAACTGGCGCTTACATCGCAAACATCAGGCGCCCCTAACTGGGGACGCTGGCCTCAGCAACTCCCTGGAGACTATACCATGATGGAATCATCGGCTATGCTCCCCTTTGACTCGCGAACCAACAACACTGCTCCCGTTCAACGTCCTGCCATGTCACCTTATATGGTACAGGGCTCCTACAGCACAGGCCCCGTGAACAGCTTGACGGCGCCTCACTACCAGGTCCACAACCCGTACCAGTTCTCACCCTACCAAGGTCCACCAACACCTCCGCATCACTCTACGCCTTTCAAAGTGGAATACGATGACCGCCGCCCTGTGGGACACATGAACGACCACGGCCGAGTTCCTTCATACCCAAGATACCCATACGTTGAGGTTGAACAAGCACCCTCTCCTGCACGAAGCGATTCACAAGTCTCGACTGCCCGATCTACAGGCACCAACCCAACACTTGCCTCCAAGACTATCATCTCAAATGAAACCCTCAATGGTGGTCAAGAGATCAACTTTGAGACTGAAGTAGACGAGCTGATGAAAGCCATTCAACGCAAGGCAGAGATGCACTCCGAGGTTGGACAGCAGCCACTCACTCCTGGGATGTCGCCTGTTTCCGATGCAAGCTTAGAAAGCCATGGAACACCCACTCCTTTGGACAACAAGGCATCAAGGAAGCGATACCGTTGCAACGGTCCTAACTGCCAGAAGAGTTTCACTCAAAAGACTCATCTCGACATCCATCGCAGAACGCACAGTGGCGAGAAACCATATGTAAGTCCAAGTTACCTACAATGGATGGACTGTTCTAACATCTCTAGTCTTGTGACTTTCCTGGCTGCGAACTTACTTTCTCCCAGCTGGGCAATCTGAAGACTCACCGACGTCGCCACACTGGTGAACGCCCGTTCTCCTGTGACAAGTGTGATCGGCAATTTGCGCAACGTGGAAACCTGCGTGCCCATTTGCAAACCCACCAAGGTCTCAAGCCATACATCTGCATCTTGGATGATTGCAACAAGACGTTCTCTCAGCTTGGTAACATGAAGGTGAGCACTGGCGGTCTTATCAAGCAAAATTCCATACTAACATTGTCACAGACTCACCAAAACAACTTCCATAAGAAGACCCTCAAGAACCTCACCATGAGATTCGCACAGATTCTCAACTCAGGCGAAGCAGTGCCTGAAGTCGATCGGGAGCTTTTCGAGTACTTTGCTACGCACTACAAGAACAGCAACAAGGGTATCAAGGGCCGAGGAAAGGCCCGCACGGTTGCCGAACGCAAGCCCAAACCCTCTCAGTCTCCTGCTGCCAACTCAATCACGAGTGTCCCTCAGTACCCTCTTCCTCAAATTGCCTCAAGTCAACAGACTCCGTCCCCTCACCAGACGCATGGTCTTCCCGTCTCAGGCAGCCTCGCAGCTTACAGTATGAGCCGTGTGCAGCCCAATGGCATCAGTCACATGCCTCGCGAGTCTGGCTATGAAGTCTATGATATGCAGGGAGGACATCACCACATCCAGCCACCTCACAACCACGGCATGCTCTATGCAACCAGCCACGTGCGCGAGATGGGCTACAATGAGCGCATGTACTGAAGACTTTTCTGATGCAACATGACATGGCATCATCATGCCAACTAGATACGACTCGACAGCGTTACGCATTTTGTTTTACGAAGCTACAACAGTACGACACAGGAGGCAAAACAGTGCAAACATTACGAAAAAAAAAAAAAAAAAACTTTCAATGGCGTGTCTTTTCTTACGAAGGAGTTGAAAATATGTGGCTTCCCGAAGCTCACAGGAAGGTGTTGCACATTTTGGGTGGTTGTCTGAACATTTGGGTGCAGGGGTTTCGCCCTTTTTTTTTTTCTTGTTTTCGCTGCGTTGATACCAATTGTTTCCTGCCTTCCAAATGTTCCTCAAAAACCTTTTTACAGGAGGAGATTTCTTTTTACCGTTTCTAATGTATTAGACGGATGCAAGGGAGAGCGTGTGGGTTTGTTCATGATTTAATGGAGGCTAGAAAAAAGGTGGTATCGTCCACTGGGAAAAGGTTTCTGTGTACTGTTTCATTTTCATGGTTATCATCTATTTGGTTTTCGAATGTATTATATCGCGGCATTGAGACGCAGTGGCTGGGGGCATTCTTGTTCATCAGACCATCTACGGGCGTTGAAGCATTTTGCACCGGGTTATTAGACCCAGGACAACAGGAAAGACAGCGTTTTCGTAATAGGAGTGGAAAGGGCGAGAGTAGCCGCTGGAGGCGAAATCGGAATACTAGTGTTTAGATAGTATATGACTTGCAATTCGAATGAACATATCTCAAATCAGAATACCTACCTACAAGAAAAGCCTGGTGACTACAAGATTGAAGATCTCGATGCAGAAGCAGAATATTGTGCGAGGAACTAAACGCTGAGACAGGAACATATCTTGGATCTCGATATCCTCGAGTACTCTCAAGTGAGGTCTTGTCCCAGGCTCGGAATAAAACGGCCGAACTGAGAACTCAGCCATGTTCGCGATAGGCTCAACTTAACTAATAGACAATGAACCAACGAGAATGCAAGGATTGGTATTCGAGAGACCTGTCACGCAGACGAGCTATCAGGGGCACATGATGAGATGGTTTCTTTAACGGGATGGTCTAGTCGAATTTCTACGGTGTTGGCTGAGAAGGCAGGGGACAGTTATTTCCACGGGGGCCATAGTGATGCCCAAAACCCCCCAGATTATGGGATGAATATCAGAGCACTCAGCTGGGCCAAGGCGTAAGGCCTCGATGGAGGATGGCGATCCTGGCACCGTGATCGAAGCTGCTGCCAGGGGCTCAAGTGACAAGTGAGCGTTGGGTGAGAAAACAGTATCTCGGTAAAACCTTTCTGGCTTGGTGAGTTGGTCACGTTTACGGATACATACAGTACTGTACTGTTGGTTGACTGCATATCTTGTGTATATACGTATATACTGCCAAACATAATTCCATGCAGGCTGATGAGAAAATGTCAAGGTGAGGCAGCACTTGTGTTTGGAGGAATGCAAGAGTGGCTGATATCACAGGCGAGGACATCCATGACCTGCATATTATGACGCCAATTGTTGCTGTTTTGTGCGTGGACAATTATAACTCGAGTTTTAGATTCTTTTAGACTGGCCAACTAGACACGACCTACAGTACAACAACTGGATTTACTTGCGAGACATAATACGTTGAGTCCTATACAGTACCCAGATGTCCTGTTAACTGAGTCGTAGTTCTGTATATAGGATACAAAACTGTCCACTATACTCATGTAGATTAGGGCTGCATGCCTCTCTTTCTGGCTGGATCGACAACCCCCCCTCCCTCTCAATATTCACCGCCCCCTCTACTGTACTGTACCTCCTCTGCTCTCTTCTTTCGCTGTATGCCCTGGACGGACAACCGCTGAAGAGTCAATTCACAGTGTATAGTGCAAAAACGGATCTACTGTCATGCATATGCTTATGCATGAAGCCTCATTTCCAAGTCTCTATCTCGGAAGGACCTATGTACGAGGCCTTCACCGCCGTAAACAACGTTGCAATGGACCGGCCCGTCATGTCATAATGTATGAATTTGCTTCACTCTGCAGAGTAAATCCCAAAGAAACAAGACTGCAGATGTGAGGCATGTAAGCCCTCTACAGCCAGTTTTCTTTTTCCATCTCTTTGCATCCACAAAGCCGTTAAAAGCGTTTGTTTGTGCACGCACGAAATGCACGTTCCTTGTACATACGTTGAATGTGCCGTACTGTAGATGCACGATGGGGTTTTGCTGGGAATAAAGATCGATGCGCGCCCAGACTCGAATCTGGAGACGAGACGAGGGGCGTTGGTTCAGAACAACCGTTGCAGGGCTGGTTGAGGCGGGGGAGCGCACGCAAGCGAGCCTCTACCGTACTGGACGACTGTCCTCAGGAGAAAGTCCGTTTCATCTGAGTGGCGAAACCGGACAAAGCGAGGCGAGAGACAACTGATTCAAGACAGAAACACCCGGAGGAGAAAGTACTGCAACTAGTATCCGCGTATCTGACCCGTCCGTCCTGCCTCGTCGAAACTTGAAAGAAAGCCGAGACATTCTTGATGTGGGCTTGGCTGTGTATGCAGTTGATGCCTACCATGTCCATGTCTATGGGTTACGTCCAAGTCCAAGTCCTCCACGTCCATATCCGTAACCCAACAGCTTGATGCAAGGGAGTTAGTTGTGCTGTTTTTTCTGTATACACACGTATGTATGTATGCATGTATGCGTCCCTATCTGTGCATGTATGTAGAAATTCTTCAATACCCGAGAAGCCGGTACTGCACCAAGTGTTCCGCGGAGGCCATAAAGGAAGTAGAGTACAGTAGTTTACAGCAGTCTAACCTCCGTGCAGCGTCGAGACAAACAGAATATTGTCACCGCTCTGGATCTCGTAGGCCTCCTCGCCTTCGAGCTCCCAGTCGGCATCGTTGATGAGAACTAGGATACCCGGTCGACTGTTTGCCACACCTGTCAGCCACGAGATCCATGAAAATCCAAGTAGGAGTTGATATAAGAGGCGCTTCTTTGAACCGACGTGGCTGTGTGTGGCCGCGAGTTCATGGGGAGTGTGCATAGCCAAGTTGCAAGTACAGTAAAAGAGAGGCAGAGACAGGCATAGAAGACGAAGAGGAGAAACAAGTGGCCAAGACATACAGATGATTTTCAAGAACGAAGAGGTCTTTGCGAGTGTCGTCCATGACGTTTCGGCATAGGTGGTCTATCAAGTACGCGATGTCGACGGGTTTCCCATCCTGGTCTGCCGCGGGAATGGACAGAGCATGCTGTCTCTTGTTGGAGAAGAGCATTTCCAGTCCGCCACTGTCAGTGCCACGATGTTAGCTCCAAAGAAAATGGACTAAAGAAGGAGAGTAGAAAAAGCAAGGGGACCAAAGAGAGGGCCGAGAAGGGACTTGTCTAAGGGGAACTCAGGGACAGGGCTTGGTTCAGGCTGGTGGGGGAACAGTCCAGCCTAGGAGAATCTGGTACAGAGGGCGTGGGCTTGATTTAACGCCCAAGACTGAGTCGAGCCGGGTCTGGGTCGAGGCTGGGAGTGAGGGTTGCAGTTGATAGATCATATAATCCATATAAGATGAGGATGTTGGTGAAACGAACTTACGAGAACTCCACGTCGATGTTGAGCTGGGGGGAAGATGCCGATTCGGCCATGGCGAAATGGAAGGAGAATGGAAGCGGAGTGACGATTCAGGGACGTGATGTTGACGGTACAGTGCTTTTTCCTTCTCAGCTGTCAACTGCAGTTTCTGGGTTTCTTTGCGATATTTGCTTTTGTTATGATGGTGGGGGGAGAAGGAGAACTCTGAAAGGTCTGTATCAGTTAAACTCCGAGGTTTCAGTAAGAGTCTTGAAGAATTTAGTTGGTACTTTTTGATGATAGGAGATAAAAAGTATCGTGATCAAGACAGTCTGTAATTTGTAGATATTATTTGCTTTTCCTAATGTGGTGTTTCGAAGCCACCCGCAATTGCCAAACTGCAAAGGCGCTTAGACAGATGACATAAGCAGAATTCTCACAGGAAAATCTCAGCAGGACGTCATGGCAGCCAATCAGAATTCAAGAACCACACACTTTTCAGACTCATCTCAAAGACCCCTCCAAAAATATACGACTGCAAGTCAATCAGAGAAGAGAAGATAACGACAGAACGAAGAAAATAGAAAATGGGCTCAGTACCCGTATCTGTCGAGTATCTCGCTTCCGGGGCCAACAGACAGACAGCTGTTGCTGATTGGAGTCGATGTGGTATTTTGGCTTTCGGGGCTGATATCAATGTTGCGCTATGGCGACCTTTGGTTAGTACTTGAGTCACCTTGTTGCTTTAAAGTCAATATACTCTGTTTCCTATAGTCGTTGTTATTTTACATGTTCAAACAATACTAACATGTGCGCTCAAGTTGGATCCTCCTAGGGGAGTTAGCAAGTTGCTCGGCGGCCACAAGAACACTGTCAAGGCCCTGACTTTCCTCCCTGAAGAAGACTCAGATGAGACCTCCTATCTCATCTCTGGCTCGGATGATAAGACCTTGATCGTCTGGAAAGCCCAAAGAGACAGTGAAGACTTCAAGCCCATCCATACATCAACCGAGCACACTGCTGCTATCAACTGCATTGCGTCTCTAAGGATCAAGGGTACCCAGAAATGGATTATTGCAACTGGAGGTGCCGATGCTTCCATCAAAATCTGGAGCTTCGAGAATGATAATTTCTCGCTCCTTCAGAATGTCAAGACCACACCAAAGTACTTCCCCATGTGCCTATCGCTCAGCTACGCCGGAGACGCAGATGATGCCTTGGTCTTAGCATCTGCCGGCACAAGAGATATTGTACAGATACACACTGCAGAGGCCAAGCCCGAAAAGATTCAGTTCGAGGTGCAAGCGACGTTGACGGGACACGAAGGCTGGATCCGAAGCTTGAGCTTCGCCAAGGAGACGACTGCCCCTGACAGCGATTTGCTCCTTGCCTCAGCCAGTCAAGACAAGTACGTTCGTATCTGGAGATTCCACCAGGGCAAAGAATTGCCTGCTTCTGCGGCCAACGGCTCAGACCCTTCGAGTGACGCCTACTTGCCTGGAAAATCTCCATCGAACAAGGCTCATCGTCTCAAGGCGGCTGGCAAGGACTTCTCCGTCACTTTTGAAGCCCTGCTTCTAGGTCACGAGGACTGGATCTACAGCGCACGCTGGCAAAGACAAGATGATGGAAAGTTGCAGCTTCTGTCCACATCAGCAGATAACTCGCTCGCTATCTGGGAGGCCGATCCAAGTTCTGGAATTTGGATCAGCATGGCGAGACTGGGTGAGATTAGCAGAGAGAAGGGTGCTACAACAGCAACAGGAAGTACGGGTGGTTTCTGGACAGGACTCTGGTCCCATGACGGCAAGTCAGTTGCCTGTCTTGGCCGCACTGGTAGCTGGAGACGATGGGAGTATATCCCCTCCGAGGACTTTTGGCGGCCTTGCGTGGCCATCTCGGGACATACCAGAGCAGTTACAGGTGTCACTTGGGCCAAGAACGGCGAGTATCTCCTGTCAACAAGCACAGACCAAACTACACGACTTCACACTCGCTGGAATAGACCAGGAACCGAGACATGGCACGAGATGTCCCGACCTCAAATTCACGGTTATGATCTTAACTGCATCGACTCCGTAGGAGCTTCACAGTTTGTCTCAGGGGCCGACGAGAAGCTCATGCGAGTCTTCAGTGAGCCCAAGGCTGTGGCATCAATGTTGAACCGCCTAGCTGGTATCGGCGATGGCATGGACGTCGAGAACATGCCGGATGCTGCCAACATGCCCGTCCTGGGCCTATCCAATAAAGCCATCGACACCGTGGAGGATGACCAGGAGATTCAGCCCATCGATGACCGGGATCGTGAAGCCATGGACCCAGCATCCATTGTTAAGAAGTCACACTTGGAGATTGACCACCCTCCTTTCGAGGAAACACTTTCACGGCACACCTTGTGGCCGGAAACTGAAAAGCTTTACGGTCATGGCTATGAAATTTCCTGCCTAGCAGCCAGCCACGATGGTACCCTCGTTGCCAGTGCATGCAAAGCCAGTTCAACCAACCACGCCGTCATCCGTCTCTTCGAGACAGCCCGCTGGACTGAGATCCGACCTCCCCTGACCGCACACTCTCTCACAGCCACTCGTCTACGATTCTCCTCTGACGACCAATTTCTCCTGAGTGTTGGTCGTGATCGTCAATGGGCCGTGTTCGAGCGTGCACCCGAAGAAGACGCTGCTTACAAGCTCCTCCAGATCAACCCTAAGGGCCACACACGTATGGTTCTTGATGCGGCTTGGGTGCCTGCCCCCTCTACAGCCCCTGTTTTTGCAACCGCTGGTCGTGATAAGCAAGTCCGCATCTGGGCGGCCAAGCCCAATGAGGATGGAAAGTTGCAATTTACGCAGACAGCTTCTATTGCAACAGCTTCGCCTGTTACCTCTGTCGATTTCATTCCTCAAGCGGTTGACGAAAGGTTTGTCTTGGCCGTCGGTACAGAACTGGGCAAAATTAGTCTTTGTCTTATCAAGGAGGACGGAACCGATGTTGTTGAGAAACCCGCGTGTGAAGAGTGAGTTCCTCCTGACGTGCAAAGACAGAATAGTGCTGACTTATTCTTTAGTTACTGTCTACCCAAGGCTGTACACCAACTTGCTTGGCGCCCTGTGGCAAGAGATGGCTCGGACAGACCATACGAGTTGGCTGTTGCAGGAGAAGATAGTTCACTCCGAGTGTATGCCTTTAGCCAGGCATATTGCCAAGTACCTGCAGACTCGTAGTAATAAAAGTTATGATTGACGTCTGAATGAACATGCTTGCTCGGCCATCAGTTTTTTTTTGAACTTGAGACCCCGTTACACATCACGATTGCCAGTCAAACGAGTTCGATCGTGAGGTTCCCAGGTTCAGTGTGTTATTATCATTATAGCCATCTATTAGCCAATGTATTGAAGATCCATATCCATGATATCGTGATGCCAGACGAACCCCCGAGTCGTATTTCGCGGTTCTCTTGGTCTAAGGTTCGAGCCGAGTCGACAACTCAGCTGGTCAAAGTTTTATCGTTCGAGCACTAGGTCGCGCCTCCGTCGCAATCCGATGCGTTTCCAGTATTCCGTAAAGCAATCGCCATTCGAATTTATAGCTCTTTAACAATTTCGAGCGTCTCCTTTGTAACGTCCACCACACTTGCCGTTGTACCTGATAGTGCGCTAGCAGACATATCCTTGACGGCCTCCTGCACTACCTCAGCAACGTCAATCTGCTCTCCGTTCATGTAGTACCATGCACGACCGACGAGGAAGGAGATGTGATGGGGGAGGTAGAGGCAGGCGGCGATGAAGGTCAAGCTGAAGAGAAGGAAAACGACAGAGCCTAAGACAACAAATTAGTATTCCTGGTAGGCCGCGAAACGTAAGGAGGCTCTTACTGAAGAAGAACTTCTCCCATGGCGTGAACATGTAAACGCTGAAAGTGACCTCTAGTTGGTACTGCTTGAGGGCAAGCCACTTGCGGAACGATCCAAAGACAGCCATTGTGTTGAATATGTAAAGTCGAAGCGAATGAGTAGTATTGAATCTCGGTATTCGTCGTCGTGAAGTTGTTGACCGCAGTATTAATTGATGGGTTAAAAGTAATGGTTCCAGGAGAAAGGTTGAAACGACGGGGAATAAAGGATAAGGATAAGGATTCCCTCCTTTCTCTAATGGTACCTTAATCGTACCGGCGTTCCCGAAAATCAGGTACCAAGGTTTTCGCAGTAAAGTGCTAGCATTCACAAGTACCTGCTTTAACTTGGTCTTACAGGGGGGTGCGGGTGTCCAATTTACTGGTCTGGTTGATTCATTCGTGGCGGGGGTTGTGGCTTGTTCGTGGCACATGCAATTCAGCGCAGCCTCGCATGCGACGAATAGCTATCGACTTGATTCAATCACAACGACTCTACTCCATATGCTCAGTCTGTTTGATCTCGTGGTTTTACGTGGACCTTTATGTCCAATGGAAGCGCAATGAACGTCTTTAGTCTCTTCCGATATATCCGCCCGATTTCACCTCGTTCACCATTCGCATTACCAATACGCACCTTTTCTAGTACATCTATTCATCTAGCAAAGGCTCTCCCTCCCCGGCCAAAACCCCCACCTGAGTCCGAAATCGAAGAAGCATATGTCAAAGGCAGCGGTCCTGGCGGGCAAAAGATTGTACGTGTGGCTGTCCAAGGGAAAGGAAGACCGCCCGATATATCGCTCTGATAGCTCACATGATATTCGTTTCAATGCAGAATAAAACCAACTCTGCGGTTCAGCTTAAACACATACCCACCGGTATAGTTGTCAAGTCACAGGCAACCCGGTCAAGAGACCAGAATCGAAAGCATGCCCGGGAATTGCTCGCCCAGCGTGTTGATGAATTTCACAATGGTGACCAGAGTCGATCCGCCATCGTTGGTCGGGTAAAAGAAAAGAAAGCTGCCAGTGCCTCCAAAAAGAGTCGCAGAAAGTACAAGAAGCTCGAGGAGGAGAAAGCCGCGGCAGCAGCTGAACCCGAAGTGCCGATAGAGGATACAGGAAATAGAACAAGGCCCGATCCAATACGGGAATCCATAGAGCCAAAAGAGAAAGAAACACGAAAGGAGTAGAGTATTTGTTCAAGGACGACCGTGTGGAAATGCTAAAGAATGTGAAAACAAGAAGCTTCAAGAGATCAGGAAAGATTGCTAAGTTCAAGATCAGGTGAAAGTTCCGAAGGGTTTCTTCGAAACAGACGCAGAAACAGACGAAGTAGAGCTCCGAAACAACTGGTAGTTCCAATATCCCAAACAAACTTGCACGATTAATGTTTATAAGAACTCAATTACAATCTCAATTATAACCTCAAATACGTAGACCAATTTGACGTACAGAGCAAAGGAGCGAACGGCACATGTCATCACCTCGTTTGATTTCAACAATTCTAAGCGGAAAGTAAAAAAGTATTTGTATGTCAACCTCGGCTTCTACCCCTAGGCACGCATTATACGCGAACTACAAGAAAGGGGCCATCACATCTCTTCGTAACAAGCGCAACGCCCACTCTTTTGACCATGTCAAAAACTTTTCGAGAATATGAGATTTGACCTCGACGCTGGCCAACCACCCAAGGCTTAGCGTCTGTCGCCACCTCCATGATCTTGTCGTTGCGCGAGTGGGAGGATTTAATTTGTCGATCGGGTAGCTACAGAAGTCAGTAAGCTAATCATGATGGCAAGATAACCCAAACATACCTTAGAAGCACTTGCGGTGAACGATTGAGGGACCGCTCTCGTCGTACTCCTGCTTGGAGATCCACATTTGCTGGAAGGTGGACAGGGAAGCGAGAATGGAACCACCGATCCAGACGGAGTACTTTCGCTCGGGAGGAGCAATGATCTTGACCTTCATGGAAGAAGGAGCAAGAGCAGTGATCTCCTTCTGCATACGGTCGGAGAGACCGGGGTACATGGTGGTACCACCAGACTAAGCAGATGTCAGTATAATTCAGATATTGCCGAGTTGCTCAACTTACCATAACAATGTTTCCGTAGAGATCCTTTCGGACATCGACATCACACTTCATGATGGAGTTGAAAGTGGTAACGTGGATACCACCGCTCTCAAGACCCAGGACAGAAGGCTGGAAGAGAGCCTCAGGAGCACGGAATCGCTCGTTGCCGATGGTGATGACCTGACCATCGGGAAGCTCGTAGGACTTCTCCAAGCTGGAGCTCTGGGCAGCAGTCTGGATCTCCTGCTCGAAGTCGAGGGCGACGTAGCAGAGCTTCTCCTTGATGTCACGGACGATTTCTCGCTCGGCGGTGGTGGAGAAGGTGTAACCGCGCTCAGCAAGAATCTTCATGAGGTAGTCGGTAAGATCACGACCAGCCATGTCGACACGGGCAATGGCGTGGGGAAGGGCGAAACCCTCGTAGATGGGGACAACGTGAGTGACACCATCACCAGAGTCCAGAACGATACCGGTGGTACGACCGGAGGCGTACAGGGAGAGGACGGCCTGGATAGAGACGTAGAAAGCGGGGGCGTTGAAGGTCTCGAAGACGATCTGGGTCATCTTCTCACGGTTGGACTTGGGGTTGATGGGAGCCTCGGTGAGCAGGACGGGGTGCTCCTCGGGGGCGACACGCAGCTCGTTGTAGAAGGTGTGGTGCCAAATCTTCTCCATGTCGTCCCAGTTGGTAACAACACCGTGCTCGATGGGGTATCGCAGAGTGAGGATACCACGCTTGGACTGAGCCTCATCACCAACGTACGAGTCCTTCTGACCCATACCAATCATGATACTGAGATTTTGTCAGTGGCCAGCCACCGAGAAAGGCGGCGAATTGCCGCGATTGCTTCAACTTACCCATGGTGACGGGGGCGACCGACAATGGAAGCTATTTACGGTATTAGCGTTGAGTTTTTGATTGAATTGCGACCAGGCGTTGCGATATCAACGCTCCGATGGCAAAGGTTAGAAAGTGGGGTACTCACGGAAAACAGCTCGGGGAGCATCATCACCGGCGAAACCGGCTTTGCACATACCCGAACTGGCATCAAGTTAGCTATCATGGTCATGTTGAGATGTCTTGCGCCTGCAAAGCCAATTCTGTTGAGCACCACAGTCGTGGCCGGTTTCGGGCATCGGACGATGCAGTGGCAGATCTGGCCAAGCAGGGGGCAGAGAGGCGGGGAGGTTGTCCAGAGGTCGGTGAGACAGGCGGGGGAGCTTACCCATTGTCGATGACGAGAGCAGCAACTTCTTCTGTAAAGCAAAGACAGGTCAGCGTGAATCCCTAGGTGACATTCGCAATGCTCGAAACGGATCGATTGAGCAGATCCGACGATGCAGCGACGCGATATGATGCGACGTACCCTCCATGGCTGTGGATTACGGTGTGTGTATGGGAAAGCTGTCCAGAAACGGGATTAGCGGCCAAGATTCCAAGGCGAGAAAGGAAAAAGAAAAGACGAAGAATTATAAAGAGAAATGAGATGAGATGCTGGAATTAGTGAAGAGCAAGCTTACGGGAAAAGAAGAGACGTTGATGGAGAAGGAGACGGAGGTCGGAAGATAGAAGAGTTGAAGAGAAGTGGTTTGGAATGGGAGAGGGAAGGAGACGGAGACGGGAGAATGGGGGAGGGGGAAAGGAGACAAGTATCGCCGGGCGACGCTGTCACAAGAAAGTTGTGGGCGGGCCCCGAATTGCTGAGGTGGACACTTTGGGGACAAGGGGGGTAGAGACCGCCTGCCAGAACTGGGTAGGGAAACTGAGCAGACGAGGCACAGTCTAGAGCAGGAGCTACCTCTCTACCTCTCTCTGGCTGTCTGGCTACTGGAAAGAGGCGGGGGCAACCAGGGAAAACAGGTCTCCAAACTACTCGCCGCTTTACTGATTGGTTCGTAGCGGCCGTAGTGCAGAGTGCGTTGCCCTGAGAAGGGACCTGGAACTAACTTGTCCCAGTGGTTGCTTGCAGCGGTGGCAGTGGAATGGTAATCGTTGCGGAGTACGGGATGGACGGTAGCGGTGGCTGAGGTGGGGAGCTTACCTAGAACTGGACGGTAGAAGGAGGACTATCCGTAGATGGGCTGGACTACTAGGTAGACTAGAGAGGTTCGTGAGAGCCAATTCTCTGAGAGGATTGATATGGAGACTTTTGCAGGAGCAATTGGTTTTAATGTAGGTAGAATTGGTAGATACTGTCAGACAGCAATGATTATTTGATGGGTTGCAGTCAACGGTTCTGCATCACATACCGACTCAGTATAACGGGCCGCTTCACCGTCTCGACTTTATCTTCCCAGCACAGAGTGACGTCGTAAGCAGAACCTCACTTCCACCGCCACGCGAGCAGACGAGGACGACGTCAGCTAGGGAACTTTGTCAAAGCTGCAGCCTTTGAGGCTTCCTTTTATTTCTCTTGGCAGTGCATTTCAGTGTTTCAATGGCTGGTTGTTTAGTTACCTGCTAATTCTCTAACATCCACCAACCTTTATGTTGGCAAGATGGAGGACCTTTTGCAACAGCATGCCAGTCAAGCTCTTGTCTATCAACAACAGCGTTAATTAGGACAAAGACGGCAATTCAGGTCAGCCTCAGCCACAAGGAGCTTGAGAAGATTCCGTCTCACTCAAAATTCCTGTACAGGATGCGGGCAACAGCAGGACGTACGGACAACCATACCTCTCAAGCCCAAGATCTCAAGCATCACTTCACCGTTCAATGTCCAAACCCTTGAAGCCAGCAACGAAAAAGGGGGCTGGTATCTCCAAGTCAAATTTCCAGATGCTCCGCAGATTGGAACCGGTTACCAGCTTCCAGTTTCCGAGTTCCACTCCATAATTAGTACAAGCGGCTAATTTTACCAAGCGCTCCTCCAGGGCAGAGTTACGCGGAGGCAGCTGTCTATGAACGAGTTCCTCGCTGACGAACCACGTCAAATACGCGCGGATCTTGTTTGTACATGCTACTCACCCAGCCCTTCCGACTGGCCAAGCAGCAGGCATCCTGACCAAAGATGACTTGACGGGGAGCAAGAGTAGCCTCACATTGAGCAGCTACCTTTATCGTGCCCCGTGTTGTCAGGTTATGCAGAATCCTTCTTGGTGGCAGAATCCCTTTTGCTTAAGCAATGAGGCGGTGATGGGCTCTTCTTGCCCCGGCAAAGACAAGGTTCTCTTCTCCATTGGAACCCATGCTTCTTGGACAGCCTGAGCGAGATCCTTTTCGTTCGACAGCCAACATCAACACCGCTATCTGATCGCCCCCTGAACCACGAGGCTGTCATTCGTTTACTGGCCGCTCAATAGATCTCCTAACTCTTAATTAGACCCCTGTTTCTTGCCCCTGCCATACCCAGCTGGGGAAACCCACCGGCGGGAGCTTTCGGCCAGTAAGCCAACCGTGAGATTGAATGCCTTCGCTTACCTACCTACGAACAGCGGGATCTCCGGCGCCTCTCAGATGAAGAATGTCCACTAAGCTCTATTGATATTGGGCACTGGATTTTGTCATTGATAATTGTGGTAGCCTTGCGGCCAGGCTGCTACAATGGTGACATGCAACGCAATACACGCGCGTCACCCTAGCCAGCCACAATCGATTTGGGTCGATGCTATTTTGTGCCGCATTTTTGTTTTATGTCTCTCTCTCTCTCTTTTTTTCGCTCTCACTTTTGAGCTCGCTTGCTCGTTGTAAAAGCAGCGACAATGAGGGGCAACCTTGCAAGGTGGGGCAATTTTGCTGAGCTGGAGGGGAGCTATGATGAAATATTCTTCTGCCACGTTGGACTGCAATCACCTGGATTGCGGTGTCTAGTCATAACAAAAGCTCGCTGCAACTCTGATACTTGACTCAGTATTATGTACAAGTCATCATAAGGCACTCATTGGGCTGCAATCTCTTGATATCGAGCTGTGGTAGAAGAGATCGGTCGGTAGACGGAGAATCGATAATTCCTGTGAGTATGCACACGCTAAGCCTCTTGTGGAATAGAGTCTTCTTGAAGATTCCAGAATGGGCAAATTCTAATCGATATGGTTGGTAAAGTTGAAAATCAAGTGCAGATATCCAACATCAAGACTTTTTTCCCTCCATTTTCATTTATCGACTCTACAATAAGCACAACGCATCACATCTCTATTTCCAAATCTCTTTTCATAAAACCAACAATATGGATGATCCCAGACTTAACGAGCTCCTCAAATGGAGCATCGAGCAATCTGAGGCTACTAGAAACGACCCCAATGCCCCTCCTCCCAAGACACAACTCACCCCAGAGCTTATGGCATCGCTTATGGGCGGCCCGTCCGATGCGGACCTCATGAAAGCGTCAATGGAAATTATCACTTCGGATAACACCGAGGAGGTCTCACTCGACGATAAGCTCATTGCCTTCGACAACTTTGAGCAGCTAATCGAGAACCTTGATAATGCCAACAACATTGCGAACCTCAGCCTCTGGACACCACTACTCGAGCAGCTTAAGCATGATGAGCGCGAGATGCGCAAAATGGCCGCTTGGTGTGTCGGTACTGCTGTTCAGAACAACGAGAAGACCCAAGAACGTCTGCTTGCTGTTGGAGGAGTCCCCATGCTGGTAGACCTGGCTACAAAGGAAGATGAGCCTGTCGATGTCCGTCGCAAGGCTGTTTATGCCCTCAGCTCGGCAGTGCGCAACTACCAGCCTGCCATGGATCTTTTTTCTGAAGAGTTGACCAAGAAGGGTCACAAGACCGACAAGGTCGATGCTACAAGTATGGAGGCTGTGGACGAGGTCGTTAACGGACTGCGAGAGAAGATTGGCAAAGCTTAAAAAGTCGGCGGATAAATCAACAACCCATAACGAATGGATGCATTGGGACGGAGTTGGGGCGTCGGTTGGAAGTACATCTTACTACGGCACAGATGATATAGACCAAAAAACGGTAGCAATAGGTTGAATGAAGTGGGCACTTTTAGCCCTAGATTTTGAATGTTCATTTATGATACATATATCTTGGTACATGATTTATACTACATATCAGCCGTTCGAGGATGATATTCGTTTCCAACTCAACACTTTACAACCCCTTTATTGTGTTTTAATGTCTGGCCTTGCCGAAGAAAGGAAGACCTAGAGCCTCCAAGAGGAGACGGCCTTGCCTATCCGAAGTGCCGGTTGTCTTAATGAAAATATCACAACCAGGCATCAGTCGTGCAGGGTACATCTATTCATAATTAGCTCGCCGGTTCTTCACAATTTCACATGTGAACTTACATCGTAGTTGAATTCGATCTCAGGGAAGTATGCCATCCAGGCAGGCTGCAGACCAAACGCCAGGTTACCTGCGCTATCGCCAGTGGTTGCTTCGATACCGGGCCAGTCCTTGATCTTAGGCAGCACCAGGGTAATCAGCTTGTCCAGGAACTCGTAGGCCTGAGCACCTCGAAGTGTCACCTTGCAGCCGGTCTTGTCGCCCTTCTTGACACCCCACTGAACAACACCGTTCTTAACCCTTGTCACCTCGGGGAAAGAACCGGAGATAGCCTGGATAACAGCACGGCAAACGTGCAAGTATTCCTTGTTCTGGGAACTCAGAGGGGCGAATGAGTTGATGGTAATAGCCTCGATTTCAGGAACATTGTGCCATCCGATAGGGCGCTCGACCAGTCCCAGTCTTGAAGAGCCACCTCCGCGAGGTCCACGACGAGGTCGGTTCTTATGATAAGGCGAGGAGCCATCCCATTCTCTCAAGTTACCCTTGTTGGAAACGGGTACTTCTGTGCCTGGTGGGATGTGCTGGTAGGTCATAGTAATCAGATCTGGAGCAATCGTGGTTTCGTATGTGTGTCTTAACCGAGGGAAATTGAATGGACCGGGGACGAAGTCTCGGGCAGTCGGGTCGGAGGACTTGGGAACTTGGACAGGATGGAGGGGTCCACGGTAGTACTTGGGAGGATGGTACTGGTATCTGTAAGGTATTTAGCGTATACTCGATCATATAGAGCCATTGGGCTACGGACCTGTTACCAGGGAGCTTCTTGCCCGTTCCAGAGGCCTTTTCCCTAGCATTGAAAGCCTCAATAGCGGCCTGGTCGGGAGTGCCTGTCGCAAAAGAGGAGGCATTGTCGAGATCTGCCAGATCGGACGAGGACTTCTCGGCTCCAGTAGAGGCATATCGTCGTGCACAGAGGGGGGCAGCCCTTAGAGGGAATTGTCTTCTTCCCAGCGAGCTCGCCATGCGGGCTCCTTCTCGTACCGTGGCCATTTTCGGGGTCGTGGGGTATTGGAATTACTCGTCGACAAAAAGATGTGAGGTTGTCGCGTGGATTTGGAAATTTCCATCTAAGCGGCTAGCGGCGATGAGCGCCACATGTGGCTAGTGTACTGATCAGTGGCTGTGCAAGTCTTCACCGTTATCTTTGCATTAAGAACTCAACAACAAGAGATCGAGTTAGTCCATTAATAAGAGTCATAATAACTTAGTATGCTCTCCATATTCCCTCCTAGCTCATGGTCATTTGCTATCACCCATGACGTAGTTCAAGCCTTCCGCAAAATAGAGGTCACTAGGTCGTTTAGCTGACTATCAATATCCCGGAATTCAGGCTTCGAAAGAACGAGTGAGTGTTATTCCAGATGCTTTTGTTTCCAAAGGGGCGTAAGAGATAAGACCGTTTGAAACTTCTTACTATTTTCAGTGCTATAAATTTCTCACGCCTGCTATGATCCTAGTGTTCATTTTCCAGTTGAGCTGCCACACCATGTGGCTTTAATGATACGATGGCAGTCTTGATCATCTTACCATTCTTCAAGCACTGCGATCGCCCCTCTATTACCCAGATCTAGAACATATAGCTTAATGCAAGTGCTTAATCTCAGAGCCTGAGTAGGCAGGTGGCCAATGGTATTATCTAAAGAGAAAACGCATGATAACTTTCAGCACCTGCAAACCCAAGAGCGGAGGTTTAGGTCAGTATCCTCCGTGGGTTTCGGGCTTTACCGTTGTCCGACTCACCTCAGTCCGAGTCCGAAACATCTCAAGTTGAATCCAAAACCGCCTACTAATTATGGAGCTGACCCAAACGCTTGGGCGCGGGACGTTCGTGGGCCCCGTGACCCGATTTATTTATCTCCATCTTTCTCAACAAGCAAGGTCCGACAAGTCCAGGATGGTCACCGATAGTGTTTGTTGTTCCCGGGCGACCAGGTTTCTCGATCGCGGGCCGAAGACTTGAACCTTAGCATACGTTGATCGAATGAAAAGGAAGTAGATAACATCTGATCATGGTGTCGACGGGCAACCAAAATGTGATTGGCGGTATGTAGAACCTACGTCAGAGTCAGAAACGGCAATTCAGAAAACGATTTGATTGTCTACCATACCACCAACCTCTGGGTAAACAGGCTGCCTACTTACACAGGGTGTGGCTGGTGATATGCAACACGGACTGGACTAGGCTTCGATTTTCCAGGGGACTTTCGTTCTTGTCAGGCACCAGACTCGTCGTGCATACGTGTTCGAGTACGAATTCAAGATTCAGTCTTCGATCGATCTATCTAAGGCTTCCACCGATTTTCAATTGATGACCTGACTTACTCACACGCCTACTTTGTCCGCTTTTTACTCAGGTCACCAGTTCTGTAGTACCCATGTTGCGGATCTCAGCCTAAAAGTTACACACCCAGGCGGTAATAATAGAAAAGACCTGACGACATGCGGTAAGATGATGATGATGACAGCCTGTGTAGAACAAAGCAGAGCAGAGCCACATTACAGCGTACAGTGTTGCCCGTTTGGGGGTGTTTAGTAGAGTTCTTACTGAGTTTAGCTGAGGCAGAATCATGTGGGTTAGGTTATTTTGGAGTAAGTTTCAGGAGCCTACTACCCATGTATAATGATGCTGTGGCCCAGATCACGCAGGGCGAGGGGAGCTGATGTAGGTACGTGAGTAATACATCACGCATACACAGGATGGCAAGTATAAATAATTAATGATAGGTATTGCCTAGTAGTGGAACAGGCTTCCGTTAGTAAATCGAAAATCACTCGACATTATGTCCTAAAAATCAACTTTAACTTCCACGTTGGCATTAGCTCGCCCTGCAAGGCGGCCGTTTTGTGTTTGTCACTTCCCGAATTCACGCGGAAACTGGCTAGGATCGGCTCCAAGGATTGACTTGGGTTGGTACGGAATATGGAAATGGGTAATAAAAAAAGGATCCAATTCAACCGTTGAATTGGCCACCCTACTAAGCTACCGTACTAGAATACCCATCTAATATCGGATACCTGATGTTGATAGTCCGAGATCTGGTTGATGGTTAATCAATCGGGTCATGATGGAATCAAGGGTGCAGTTCGCATAATCAAGAATCAAGGGACCGAAAACCGAAAAAAAAAAGAAAGAAAGCCCAGAGAAAACTTTAAGAATGACAGGACAGGGCACAGGGGTCCAACTACTACAGTACTACCTTAACCTTACTTCATCCAACCTTAGTTCATCTTGTAGGCTGAGGTTCAGGTCGGGTCCATGCTGTATCCACCCCCGCCACTGTCTATCTTTCTATTTTAGTGCAGTATCTTTCAGGTCACTCCCCTCAACAACCGCTCCCGTGGGCTGTTCGGCCACTGAGATTTGGTCTCCGAGGCCGATCACTCGTTATAGGCAGGGCAGGTCTCGGCCTTTTTTTTTCCAGTACAGCTTCCCCTCCAACTGTCTTTTGTCCTCTACTTCTACTTTCACTTTCACTTTCAACCCACTTTCCAAGCTCAACAGAACATCTCTCTACTGTGTCTGTTTTCCGTGTCGCCCCCGGCTCTTACCATCACCACCGATCAAACCAATCTCACCTCTCCCCCGTCTCGCGCGCGTCGCACTCGAGCCACTTCCCGGTCCATCTCAAATAACCTACACCAACAACGGATGCGCCCCCGATAATGAATGCTTGTGGCTTGTTACTACCTCGTTAAACCTGACGAGTCCCTCTTTCACCTTCGAACGAAATATTCTTCCTCTACATCACGAAATCGACCATCATGAAGGAGTTTCCTAGAAAGTTTCTCAGCTTGCGCGACAAGAATGGCTCTAGCCGTCGATCCAAGTCGGCTGCGCCAGCGCCCTTACCAGCGGTTTCAGACAAGAACAAGGTATGTTCCATCAGGACTTTGCAATTGCTGGATGAGTTATCTGCCGTTTCCTTTTTGCATGTCCGAATTATGCCCTGGCCGAGGATCAGGTGTCCTAACAAGTAGCTATGTAGCCTCGTCCACTTTCTACTGGGGCCTTCATGGCCATGTTCAAGAACGATAGTTCAAAGCAAGGTGCAAAAGCAGAGGCAGACAAAGAGAAGGATAACGCACGAGTACGAACCGAATCACGACTTAAACGATCGAGACATTAACCTTTGCTCGCACTAGGTCGAGGAGATCCTACGACGATTAGACGAACTCCATATAACCAACGTTACCACCGACCACATTATCGACATTATGGCAACCAAGTTCGCAGACCACGACACCGATAAGACCGTCGAGTTTATCGATATGGAACAAAAGGCCGCCGCTGGGATCATCACCCCTTATGATCCCAGTGTGGATATGGTGGGCGCCGAAAACCGAGGCAATGTTACATGCTATCTAGATGCGCTCTTGTTCTCCATGTTTGCCAAAATCGACGCTTTCGAGTGCATGCTTAAGAACGACTTTCCCGAAGAAGACAATCGCAACAAGCTTGTCAACCTGTTACGGATGTGGGTAAATATGTTGAGAACAGGAAAGCTGGTGCATACAGATATGGTGGGTAACATTTACGCATTTTGCCTCCTGGTTTGTTGAAACTGACAAAACAAACAGACGAAACTAATACAAGATGCGTTGGCCGATTGTGGCTGGTCTGATGCACGAATGCTGGAGCAACAGGATACGTCAGAAGCTTTTGCTTTTATCACAGAAACCTTACAGCTACCGCTGTTATCTCTACAGGTCGATCTTTTCCACCAAGGAAAGAAGGATAAGGATGACCACAAAGTTGTGTACGAGCGTCTCCTGAACTTGGCCATACCCCCTGATTCTGAAGGAAAGGGGCTTAAACTGGAAGATTGCCTCGAGGAGTACTTCAACGCTCAGGTTGACGTCAAACGAGACAGTGAAGATGGAAAGAAGCTTGGGATTGAAGAGAAGAACCGAAGCGAGACGCCGACACTTAAGCACAGGGATACGATTAGAATCCTCACCGAAGAACGCGGCGAGTCATCAACACCAACATCCCCACTGCCAATTACCCCGGTGGAAAGAACACCAACTTTGGAGAAGGCGCCCATTCTTTCGCTTGCAGATTCCGATGCCAAAAATTGCAACGTTCCAGATGACGAAGCAGAAGGCGAGGTTACCACTGTCGAGTTGGTACCGAACAAGCCTTCTTTGAGGGGAAGGTCAACAAGTGTCATTCAACGTGTGGTTCTGGATGAGGAAGGCCGTCCTTCTACACCCGACACTCCAACAATGCTCCAAAAGGCTATGCGCAAGGGTTCAACAGTTGTCAAGGCAGTCACTATTCCTGCTTGGCAATTTTTCAGGCTCATCCGTAAGTTTAAATCGTTTGAACTAATACTAGTACACCTGCTAACAAAATCGCAAGCCTGGCATGCACTTTCAAGCACAGAGCCTCGAAACAACACGGAAGTTGCACTGAATTTCGAACAGAGACCCGTCGTGGGTATCTGTCTCAAACGCTACGCAATGACCGAGTCTGGCCAGCCTAAGCGTCACAACACATTTATCGATATCCCCGATAGTCTGCGGCTGCCACATTTCATGCTTGCCGATGAACCGAAAACTGAGGAAGATGAAAACGTTCTCAACACGGACTATAAGCTCGTCCTCCAGTCCGTTATCTGCCATCGGGGAGACTCATTACAAAGCGGCCATTACGTTTCCTTCGCCCGAGTAGCTCCCAAACTGTTGAAAGACAATCGACGACATGATTTTGACCCACCTCCTGATTACGAGGAAGCACAATGGGTCAAGTTCGACGATCTTCAGATAGAAAACCGAGTTACTTACGTGGATGATATCAGAACCGCTCTCAAAGAGGAGATGCCATATCTTCTGTTTTATCAAGTCATGCCTATGGTTGAGGTTGCTCCTCCCTCAGTAGATGACCCAGACACAGAGCCTCCTTCGTACAATGATTCCAAGATCAGTATCGAGTTGCCTCCTACTCCTTCGCGAAGCAACCGGCTCGGCAGTCTCGAAGAAGGCTATTTCGATAGCACACCAACTCTCGAGAACTCGCAGCGCTTATCCAGCAAACCGCCCAGTATTCGGCTTTCCATGGATGGCGAAAAGCCAAGGAGGAGCGAGGATGGTGCGGACCGTTTTCCAGGATCGCTCACTGGCTCACGACGCCCGAGTGCTGTTTGGACTGAATCAGCACCACATACACCTAATTCCCATTCTCCAGCCATAACACCCAGCGAAGAGCCGACCGCATCAAGGCTGTCACGCGCAGCATCTCGCTTTACTTTAGTCAATAGGAGTCGTCCGAGCAGCCAAAACGGAGAAAATCGCCTTAGCTTCTCGATGAGCAGGCTAGGAGGTCTTATGCGGCCTAACAAAGAGCCTTCTTCAGAAACCAAGGATGAGCCTAATGGTATCGGCATGTCTTCACCAAACTCAACAGGCGTCTTGACCGCAGAAACGTCCAAGGAGTCGAGGGAGTCAAAGGAAATTTCAGACAGAACAGAGGTTCCAGCAGAAGCTGAGCCTGAAACAGAGCAAAAGCATCACCGACACCACGGTCACAAACATCACAAACGGGTCAGATCGAAGGACAAGGTCAAGAACAAGAGCAGCGACCAACCCGAACGTGAATGCACGGTGATGTAACGTGCTTTCACGATAGTGATGGCAATACCTCTAAAAGGCAGGAGGGAAATCAAGAACTCTCCAAATCGTGTTTAATGCTATCACCGTTTCGGTTTTTGAGCATCTTTATGTACAGGAGTCTTCGCTTACAGGGAGGAACTAACATGGACCTGATCAGGTGGACTACCGAAGAAGCAGCGCGTGCTCTCGGTTGCCGTAATGAAGTTGAACAAGTTGGACAGCAAAATGACCGCACAATAGTCGGCGCAGTAAGAACAGGATTGCATAGCTTTTTCGGATTCTAAAGGAGTTTGAAAAGCAGAGTTGGCACCAGAACATTTGTTATTAGCATGGCGTTTTGGGACGGGCATGGCAACGCAAAACAGTTGTTAGATGGCTAGCTTACACAGAGAGCTTTTTGATGCATGGTACACGCAAGGATGAGATACATGGAAGGGACAGTTAGGATAGGTAACGCTCGAAGCGAACAATACCATTCAGCTACAGCGATTTATTGTCAGTGACGTTGTGTGATTTACAAAAGTGACTTGTTTGCACAACACAGGAAAGGCATGCTTGAACTGGATACACGTCATCATGGGCCACATTATAGCTTCAAGGTTGTCTATTTTCTTATACAGAGGTTACATGAACAGGCGTGGCCATCACTTCGTTAGCTTGCCTTCAAAACCCACATCCCATCCCATCAACAAATTGAACAAAATCGGCGCCCAACGAGCGCCATGAGTGAGGTTTGTTCAAGAGATTCGCAAAAGCAAGAACGGGGTAAGATGACCGAAATTTTCCCCTTCGCCTCTCCATTGCATGCGTTACAGAAAGTTCATACAGGTGACCAGGACAATACAAGTCCACGACAATAATATACACAGATGCTTGAAATCCATGAGGACAGGGAGAGATTCAGAAACCAGAATATATGTACCGGTCTCCCCCTAAGCATCCAGAAATCATGGCATCATAGGAGGTGAGGGACGACTAATAAGACATCGAAAATGGCGAAAAATGGGGGTGGCGGAGGTCGAGGCTCGGTCCTGGCCTGGTCAACAGTGGGCGATCATTAAGATTTTCTGTCCACCTGAGGGCAGAAAGTCAGGTCATTGTGGGTGTAGTGGGGAGTATACTAAGCTCATAGCTTAGAAGGGGATGTTGGGAGGAGGCTGAGCGCCGAGGGCCTCCTGTTGTTCTTGGAGCTCCTCGGGGGCAGCTTCGATGGAAACACCCAGACCAATCTTGGCTTGATGCTGCAGTCATTTGTTAGCATTTTCTTCGCTTGTCAAATACTAGGATCATGTACTTACCGTAAAGTGGTCGATATCAGCGGCAAAGGTCATCATTACAGGAGGAGCCACTCGCTTCTCGAGAGCGCAGCTAAGCTTGCCCTTGGAGTCGACCTGAGCTCGGAAAGTAGACATGCGGAAATCGTACTTGGCACCAATGGTGGTGACACCCTCCTTCTGGAGACCACCACCCATAAGACCACCAGGAGAAGGAACAAGACCGAGGCTCAGATCAACACCAGCCTGGACTTTGTCGGAAAGTCGTCGCCAGTAAGAGGTGTTCAGGGTACCCATAGCAGCTTGGAGCTGAGCGGTAGCGATCCAATCGGCGGACTTGTAGCGGGCGGCGTATGAGACGGCACATTCGGGGCCCTGGGACAAAGAAGGTCGTTGCCAAAGAGTCTCGAGACCCAGAGCAAGCTTGGGAGTAACGGATTGGAGGTAGCTTCCGATGAAGATACCAGTAACACCACCCTCGAGGTAGGAGGGGTTAAGCATCTTGAGGGATGCGCTGAAGTCGTTTCCGGTGTACTCGTGCTCGAACTGCGCCATATCTTGACCACCTGGGGAGATGGAAAGCTGAGACTTGGAAACAAGCTTGTCCGACCATCGCCAGTTAAATCGACCAGACAGAGAGCCCTCGTTATCAAGGTTACCTTGGCAGAAGACCTGTAAAAAGGATTAGCAACCTCGGATATACGATTGGTGTTCAAGTAGCAGCTACCTTTCCTGTTCCGTACATGGCAGCAAAAGTGTAAGGGTTGATGCGCTCGCCCATGGCAAACTGGTGAGAAACCTGGAATAGAGGAGCCATGCTGAAGATCTTGGTTAGGTCGGCGCGGATTCCGGTGAACATGTAGTTGTTGAGGAAGACATCGCGCTGGACTTCCTTGGAAAGACTCTCGATAGTTCCTGGGTTGGAGAGGCCTAGCTTGGCCCTCCGCTCGTTGAAAGAGTTGAGAGCATCTCCCAGGGCGCTAGCGAGGGGATTGGAGAAAAGAGCCGTCTTGACGGGTTCCAATGCGGCGGCGGAGGCCATTGTGACTGAGGAGTGCCGAAGCGAGGATGGAGATGATGACGGAAGAGGATCGAGCCGAGGGTTAATCGACGATAACGATGCACAGGGTCAGGCAGTCGTAGAGATTGTGCCGACGATAGAATTAATGAAAAATAAGGAAGTTGTGTGAAACAACCTCGTATGCGATTAATATCCCGAGGCCTCTAAACGCCAGGAACGTGATGACGAGCGCAGTTAGATGGAGATGGAGAATAATTTTCATCTGGCTTGGAAGCTCTGTAGTGGAGAGACACTAGCCACTGATGATGCCAAAGAATTGTGGCTAGTGACCGGTGCGGCAGCCGGCCGAAGGATACCCTAGAGCATCCAATGATCGGATGGATCTTTGGCTACGGGCAGTTTGGTAGTGCAAAGTATCCTATACTTTCAGCTGACACCCTTGTCCAAGACTTTGGGGCTTACTTGCACTACTTTACACCGCATCTTAGGCATGACGTTCAGATTGCGTGAGTATAGATACTTCCTTCCCCGAGATAGTACTTGCTTGCACCTGACTCTTTCCAAACCTACTCCCCATCCATTCACTACAACATGAGCCTAGAGCACTGACGATTGAATTCATTTTCATCTTCCTTGTCATCTCCCCCAACATTTGTCTGGGTCGGTTCTACACATCCTCGTTTGAGCTAAACTTCTTTGTGCTGGTCAATTATAAAACACGACATCTTGACCGTCGACCCCGCCGGCATCCACCGGCTTCTTCCTTTAGCTTTTTATCTTAAGGCTCATCTTACCCTTGTTGAAGCTGCATCAAGCTCAGATAAGAGCTACAGGAGGCTCATAAACAACATATTACTAAGGCCATTATATCCTCGATTCCTCTCATTGTACGGCTATTCTCGATATACCGAGACAAAATCCTTCCCAGAACCAGGGATATCTCAAAAGTTACCGGTTGAACTTCTTAAGCTTAGGGCTCCTGAGCACAACACTTCATTTGCAAATCATCATACCGGAGGGAGTCTCACTGCTACTGTTCAAAATGGATACTCTTCTGTATGTGTTTTCTGCTTCTTCAAACGCTACTATGTTGCGTGGCGGTCTCCTATTTCCAAGGCTTTCATTGTTATCGGATATTGATGCGATTTGGCATAACAAACCATATCATGTCATGGCTTTCGAGCCTTAACATTTATATGACCGAAAAGTCATGTTCGAAGAGTGGTTATTTCATCTATGAAGACCTGGTGTAACTAACAGTCCTAGAACCGCTGAAATTGCGGCCAACGCCCCTCGCTACCGCCGCAAGAGCTCTACTTTCATCGACGCCATCCATGATATTCCCCATGGCCAGGATTTGGCCCCGGCCCAGCTCTACAGTACCATGTCAGGTCGACTCTTCCACTCTGGCCGTATCGCCATTGTCATGGTTGGGCCGCCTGCGCGTGGCAAAACGTAAGTCTTCGTTGGCCGAGTGGTGACCAAAGCTTACAAGTCTCCAGTCATATCTGTGTCTCTATGGCGCGATACCTGAGTTGGCTCGGTGTGAAATCTCGCATCTTTCACCTTGGAGACTACCGCCGAGCAACTGTTGGTCCCGATGGCTCTATTCCTGACGATTACTTCTTTCCAAACGCATCGCCGGCATCTGTCATTCTGCGTCAGAAGATCTTGAAGAAATGCCGCGAGGACATTTACTCTTGGTTGAACCACGATAATGGACAAGTGGCGATCTACGACGCAGTAAACCCTACCGCTAATGGACGACGCTCCCTGGCCAAAGAGTTCGCAAAGCACGACGTTCAAGTAAAAAGAGACCATTAACCAACCCTGTTGACGCTCAGAGCTAATGCGTACAATAGACTCTGTTCATTGAATCGTTCGTTGACGACGAACGCATCCTGAGAGAGAATGCGAGAAACGTCAAAATCTCGTCCCCAGACGTAAGTGTGTTTCAAGATTGCCGAAGACGATACTAACGATGAATCTAGTTTGCCGGAATGGAGCCTGACGAAGCAGCCAAATTATACCTCCAGAGGATCGAGATGAAGATTCCTGTGTTTGAAACAATGAACGAGAAGGAGCTGAATTACATCAAGATGATCAACGCAGGAACCAAATTCTTTTACAACAACGTCAGCTTCAATTATCTTGCTCATAGAATTGTCTTCTACCTTACAAACCTGCATATCAAGTCACGAAAGACTTTCTTTGCCCGAGCTGGCACGACAGCAGAGGAGGACTCATACAAAGCCGATGCTCCCCTGTCTCAGGAAGGAAGGGACTATGCTCAGAAGATGTCCGAGGCACTCTTGAAGCACCGCGAACAGGAACGCCTTACAGCCATTGCGGAGGGTGGCCAGGATGCTCCTCTGCCACCACTCACTGTCTGGACATCGACTCGTATGCGTACGGTGCAGACTTCCGATGTTCTGAAGGAGAAGGGATACAAGGTCCGTCAGCGGTCACAGCTCAGTCAAATCAACCCTGGCGTGTGCGAGAAGATGTCTGAGCGTATGATCCGTCAAATCTACCCGGATGAAGTCGAGAAGCATGAGCTGGACCCTTACCACCACCGTTACCCTCGCGCCGAGGTATGTCAAACTCCCTGGCTTGATGTTCTAATCAGATTACAGTATTGACCATAAACAGTCGTATCACGATCTTGCCGTTCGGTTGGAGCCTATTATCCTCGAGTTGGAGCGAGAACAGACCGATCTTCTCATCATTGCTCACGAATCTGTTCTTCGTGTACTCTACGCCTATTTGATGCACTGCTCTACTACTGATATTCCAGTGATCAATTTCCCGCGCGACGAGATTATTGAGATCATCCCAGCGGCGTATCAAAATGAGGCCAAGCGCATCCACATCCCGGGTCTCAACCCTCAGATCGTCCCTGGCTCACCCCAGGACATCAAAATTCCTGTTCCAAGCAGCGGAGCCGTGAGCGCACAGCTTTCCCCTATCCCAAGTGGTGTTGGTACTCCAGCGGAGCATACTGAGCGACCACCAGAGAAGGTTATCAACACGGCCAAAGATATGGTAGCGGATAAGGTCAACGACGAAGACTAGGAGAGTAGTAGCAAGTTCGAAGGAAGAGTGTCATTTTGTTGGAACTCGAAATCATCGATTGCTTGTCTATTTCTGAGTCCGGAAGGATAGACATTGTCACGAGACCGGGAATCTGACACATAAGAAAGGACAGGCTGAATGTCAGTATGATTCATGATCAATCACATGATCCATTCGGAGGCTCTACTGCTTCCTCTTAAACGTGCATGAAGACTGGCCAAACCAAGTTATCGAACTCGATTATCAAGCAATATCCTTGCTCGTAGGTCCCATGCTTTCTTACTTCCTGAACCTTTGAGGAGCCAAGTTAATGATGTTGTATTGATCGACAACACGGGTTGTCCGTTTCATGACAGTGCAGAAATGCGTCAATACTGCATGATGCGCAGCCATGAACATTTTATAACGACCCTATGATAGGCGGCGGAACATAGTTCCTAGAACATAGGGTAGGATAAGTTCCTACATGGAGTTGTAGGATCTCAGGCTTTACTCAAAAGGCTGATTGCCATTTACCTCATGCCCAGTGTATTGAATATATGGCACAGCAATCGAACTGTCCCAACAGATAGTATGCTTTATTTGTAGCTCCAATACTAGTACATAGGTTAAGACAATGCACATCATTGTAATGGGAACGCCCGTAAGTGTTTATTCCATCATCAAATTTGACCGAGTACAGCACAATTGCCCTCCTATGTAGCGTCGAGTTTGGAAGGATGCCCGGTGAACCGCGTCAAAGTAGGCGTGTCGCAATATAAGAAGCTAGATAGACTTTTAAGCCTGTTACATTATGCGATACTCGCCTCATAGCTCAGACTTCCTGCTACAGTAACATACATTACAGTCAAGCAAGGATCAGCCTTCACGTCAAAGGAGTTGGATCGGATTGGGTTGCGTTGCGCAAGCACAACGCGGCGGCCTCCCGATGCCTTGTACCTGGAGAACAGCCGGGGCTTTGTATCAAAGCAGATGCACGTCGCTGGATGTGGAAGCGGGTGCACAGGGGTCAGGGGGGACCGTGAGCCGTTTCTGAAGGAGTGACGAGATGAGCGTGAATTTGGCTGGCTGAGGATTTTCTTGCCTTGAGAAAACGCAGGCTGATGTGTGGCCATGTGATGATCATTGCGATTATGCTGACTGACAATGGTTGAATGAGGGTACACGACAGCCGATGTGCAGTGTCTCTTTGTTGTAGGGTCATATGACATACTCGATCAGTTTACTTACATACATCGATGTTAGGGACTTTGAGTTCTTGTCAGATCATGCGTTGACAGATAGCTGTGGCTCGGGGAACCTGAAGAACCTCCGGTCTGCGGTCATATATGACAAGCAGCGACACCATCACCTGCATAGAGAACCAGAACCTACGACAGTACCGGACTGATGTCCCAACACTTGAGTAAAGTATCGCAATATCTAAAGCAACACTGGTAGAACCTGGCTCAACCTGGCACTATGGTCAAATATCCTGCGTCAGTGTTGTTTCAGCCGGCTGTCAGTCGAGATTGTTTCGGAATATATGGTGTTGGTTCATCAACAGCACAAACTGGTAACTGAGGCAATGGTTTTTGAGGCGGTAGGTCAATAGCAATAGAACCATGCCTTGTGTACCTACCGTAAGGAGGAATGTCAGCACGGCAGGTATTCGGCAGTCCCTGTGTGTATCAAACACGAAGGATTGTGCTCTCAGCTCCTTTGGCACCACGAACAGCAAATACTGCCCACCCACTTGAGAAATGCCGCAATGCAGCACTCAACCTTGCGTATGTGAGTTTGGCGGCCATTGAAACCAAAACCGAGCCCTTAAGCTCTCAAGATACCTCGCTTTCTGCCAAGTGGCTTCGACTTGATACAGCTTTCCCATCGCACGTCTCGGCGATGCAGCATATATTGTGGCTTCCTGTATATCCCTCGTTATACCAGTCATAGATTCTGAGATCCAGAACTTTGTGTGATTACCTGACAACAATCACCAGGGGCATCAAAAGTAAGTTGAGGAACTTGTGCAGGTCATTGGACATAATATGTGCCACATAGTAGTCACGAGAAGGATCAGCTTGTGGTAAGTAGGTAGCTTGTCCGTCAAGATAGTATATTGTTTCTGCGACGAGGCCTGGCCATGCCTCAATGAGGCGTAATTGAAGTTTGACAGTACATGCTTTTTGAGCTCCCAAGGCGCTTTCTTTGTGACAGGTGAGCCTGACCAAGCCTGGTATTACTAGATTCAGTGCGCCGCGCCTCGAAACATGGGTGACGCTGGTATCAAGATGAAAGAACACACTTGAGTTAAATAAACAGTTATCGTCTCGGACCCTGCAAGGTTGATCAGAGAAACGGGGTGTCACGGATCTCAGCTGGGTTCGTGTCATGGATCGCCGGACCCGACGCGATCCTTGTCACTTGTGTGAGGGGTTGAAGAAGGTCTTTATCAAGAGTTGTATAGACTTACTGGCAGTGGTATACACTCAGATGATGACCCAAAAGCCAGGTTCCTGTTAGCTGGACAACCAGAGGCTAAAGCCATTCGACCATGACAAACGAAAGTACACTGACCTTTGATTCTGGAGTCTTCGCGTAAGAGATATCTTACATGTCGTTCCAAGGCAAGACATGAGGCTGAAAAGCGAACTGGTTTCTCAACACTCACACCCAAGTACCTGGGTTAACAATCGATGCTTGGCGAGTGCAGATATCCGAACTGATAGATATTGAACGGTCCTGATAAAAGATAGAATAGTCACTGGTTGTTCGATGTTAGTTTCTGCAAGAGATGAGTATGCGGATTGTTCTCAAAATTCTTGGACATAGAGGTCTTTTTTATTCAACCTTTCAAGCCATGTAGTTGTTATGTAGGAATAGTTTCAGATGTCCTTTTAATCAAATGGCAGTTACACTTGCAATGCCAATAAGTTGAAGGGGTTTTTCATCTCATCTCAGCTAATCCGGTCTTAATCTGCAAAAACAAATTAGCAAGCTCACGGAACAGCCCTAGACTAGACTAGTTGTTTTGCCTCAGCTTATTTAGCATTGTACTATTTTCAAGCTGTCTTGACAGGTAAATTCTTAGTTCCATTTCAATTGATGTCAGGTGTGCTGGACAGGAAACATCACAGCTCGAGGTCCAGATTTGGCCACCCAACAAGTCATGCTGACATGCTCGGTGGCGTTGGCCCTTTTCCCTAAGCTTTAGAGCCGCAGCCGGGAGGCGGATGTCTGATTTAAACCTCTCAACATCAAATCATGTTGCGGTATGACCGTAATATGTTTAAGCCGAAGGCCAACTTTGGACAAGACAGTTAGCGCCTCCGCCATGGTGCACTTGATGAACTCAGTCGTCGTTGGTTGAGCCTCAGGAAAGCTAGCTGAGCATAGTATGGTGAAGCATTGGCTCGGACGTTGAAGGAATCAACTCTCGACTATGCACGGTACTGTACTATGCCGCTTTGAATTCAGGCCCTGCTGGTTGGTTCCTGGCCATCACAAATCTCAAGAGCTTGGAGCTTCAACTTCTTGCTTGATGGCTTTGGCGAATTCAATGATTGGTCCAAGCACGATTTCCGACCCCTTTTTTCCCTTTCGTTGAACAAATGGGTCTTGCACTTTCCATGAACTTAAAACTCGACCATGGTCATTAGCGTTGCATGCGAGGGTCTCATGACCATCTGCATTCCGCAAAGTCTACCCACCAAGCATGACTGCCCACCACCTGGAAAGCTCCAGCTTCCTCGACTGGTAGCCTGTGAGTGGCCTGCAGCCGCTCATCCATTGCTTGACCCTGTGGTCAGCGTTGCTACTAGCGGAACTGGTGCAAGCCTGCCAGGGGCTCGATGGACTCCGAATCTTCGGTTCTCAAGCTGCTACTGTAGTTAGTTAGTTCGAGCACGTTGGGAGAGCGTCATCAACATGTCGCGTAGTTACCATCCGTGTGCCGTGGCCGCATCTTTATTGATCGCCTGTCATGCCAAAACGGTATGGACATTACTATCCCGTTTCGCAGCATCTATCACCCGTCCCGATGCGATTAACTTGTGGTCTTATACTTGCTGTAAGCCCAGCCTAACTCAGCCCAACACACTGGCGAACATGTCCGTACTGTACTGTTGGCCTTGACAGATGACGTCCGTAGCATGACGTCTGCTGGCTCTTCCATTGGCCAAAGGCAGATCACCGTTGGCGTCGACACTTAGTAACCATGTATCCACACTGAACACCATTTGATCACGCCTCGACACCACCAACTGACATCCTACCATCACTGGCCGCCAACGACTCTAGGGCTTTGGCGGGACAGTGAACTGCCCACTTCGGTAGCACTGAAACCAAAAATACCCGAGGACGACTGATGTACATATGCCATGTGCATATGGGTGAGATCTAATATCAGATGGCGAAGGCTTGATTTCATCGCAGCCTCGATGGTAGTAGCGTCTATGCCGATCAAGCAACCCAAACTTGACTCTTCTACGGACAATGAGGACATCGCAGAGATGCAAATTTCTGTGGAGTTTCAATTAGGGCACAACAACTGCAGCAACAAGCATCAATCGTACCGTTCCATTGGACACCTGATTTCTGGATCTCGAGTATCCAGAGCTTCAGACGTCAGGGATCCACCCAGCCTCGCCGTGCCACGGCCCCGCAGGCGCATGTGCTCTGTGTAAGAGCGTCCATCGTCATCTCGACCTCTGGCTCTGCGTCTGCAACGGCGGGTGAGAACCAACCGAAACCCGGTTGGCATGGACCAATCTGAATGCCAGGCAAGGTACAGGGGAGGGGCTGCAGTTGCTCTGTCCTGCCAAACATGCCCCTTGTTTGGTAGGTTACTCAACGTAGCTTTTTGATCGATAATTCGACGACATTGATGTTGGGACAATCCAAAGATCTAAGTAATCCCTGAATACGTGTTACAGTCCCGATGTAGCTATAGACCGTGGTCGAGACAACGCTTACTGTAGATGGGTTCAGTTCAGTTGGATCCTCGTGACATTTTGGTT